CAGGATTGTAGTGTCAGGATAAGAGATCTCCTCTTTGGTAGTCTGCTGTTGTTCTCAACTAACAGCAATTTTCTGAATATAGGGGAAAAAAGGGCATGTAGGAAGGACGTGTAGGCCTTTAGATTCAAAATCAAAATGCTGATTCACAAGGGCATGATTTTCTAGCAGGAACTATCCACATATCCACATCTGCTTTTTTCCCCCCTGGAACCCTGAGTCTTCCCTCCACAGCTGTTCTGAAAACCTAAGAAACCAGGGCCAGTGATGGGGCATAAAAACATTAATTAACATTTTTGACATCCATTCTCTTCCAGGCAAGAAAATATATACTTGTTTTTTTAAAAAAAAAAATATACAGAGAAATGTTGTGCACATACCCACTCAACATTTTTGCTCGAGTGTCTGTAATTAATAGCAATTTTCAAGAAAGTGTAGGTTTACATATAGACACAAAACCCAAAGGCAAATACAGAATAAAAAAATACAGAAATATCTTCTTGCTTAGGTCTACACTGTTATACCAATTTATTTGACTAACTGAGTGATAATGTAGGTGTGACTTACTTTAGACAGAGAAGAATCTTACCTATATTCCTTGAGATATATGGCTTCTTGAGTGAAACAGCAGCAGCAGAACTGGATTTTCCAAAAGTTTCACAGCAGGAAGAAGTCCAGCTGCAGCTGGTGACATGAAATGCTGAGGAGAAATGCAAATGATAGAGTTTCTGAAAGGTTTGATATCCAGAAAGAGTGAAGTGTGATCTAGATCCTCAGGTATAGCAACTTCTCATCCCAGCTTGCAACTATTGTCAGAATTATTGAGCCGTGTAAGTGGTATTTCCTGATGACAGTCTCTCCTTATGGTCAGTTGTTCCAGGAGGTAATACTTTCACCAGAGAATCTTTTGAAATCCAGGGAAATTGACATTTTTTGTTCTCCAAGCTATAGGTTTGCTTTTCCCATTTCTCAAAACATTTATTAAGGATAGAGAATCAGCAGACTTGAGACTTTTATGCCGCCCATCTCACCAAGACCAAGGGAATTATTCTGAAGTTGTCTCTTGAGTTGAACAAGGAAGTCTACTGCACTGATGAAGAAAGTTCTTTCTTCCATAAGAACTGGAAAAAACATTCAATAGTCATGTCAGGAGCAATTCAATAGTAAAGATTAAATATTCCAGAGATATATAGATATTTCTGATATGCAGTACATTTGTGTAATCATCCTTGCTATAGCTCCCATGAAAATCAATTTCCTGTCTCAACTAAGACGCAACAGATTTTCTAAAGAGATGAAATACATATAATTCATATATGTCTGTACGTCTATTATTACCTCTACTGGACAGTTAAAAAGTCAACTATTTTAATCAAGCCCAAGATGATTCTAACAAATGGAAAATCAAACAAAAAGGAAAAGCAATCATAGTTTTAAAAGATTTATGGGAAAACTGAAAAAGATTATAATAAAAATGTTTGATGGATAAAAAAAAGTAAAAATGAATTTAGAAAAAAGTTCAATGGAAGAACTAATAAAAACAGCAGACATTGTTTAAGACTGAGTGGAACTGATTAAAATTGGAATCTTCTAAAAATGATCTGTTACATGACTTTGGGCTCAAATATCTGATTGGTTTACATCCAATTATAGTTAAACAGCTTAATGAAGTATTGAATGAAGGAAAATCAATGACTGGTTAATAAGCAGCAAAACATGGTGATTCCAAAACATCCAGCAAAAGGGGCAATGGCAGGCATCTATGGGCCTGTAATATGCTTGCATACAGTGCTTAATTTACTCACAGGCATAACAGCAGACAACACCCAAGATTATTTAGAAGAAAATAACATCCTTCTTAGTAAAAAGTAACTTAAAGAAAAAGCAGAGATACGAAAGGTCAACTTCTGATGGATAAAATGATTTTGGAGAATTGCAAAAGGCAAAAGCTTGATTTACGTATGGTCTGGATTGATTATAAAAAGGCATACAATAATGAAATTGAAATGCCAAATGGCCAAACCTTCAGTAGCGTTTTTCAGTTTTTCAGATGGAGAACATCAAGGATGGACAAGTTAAAAATGTGATTGATAAAGAACACGCCCAAAGAGTGAGAAAAGTGCTTAAAACAATATTGAATGGTGGAAATACATCAAATCCATCAATACCTGAGCCATCCCTGCAATAAAGGCTCACTGCTGAAATTAATAACTGGACACAAGTTGAACTGAGCAGTTTAGACACAAAACAAGAAAACTAGTGACTATTCACTATGCAATACACATCCATGTAGTGATATTGATAGATTATACTTGCCATGCAAAAATGGAGGCAGAGGTTTATTTCATGTCAAACAAACTGTTGAAGAAGAAAGACATGTATTAGTTGATTATAAAAAAAGACAGCCAAGAAAAAGCATTGTTGCAAGCTAATAACTTATTAAATGTGCAGGAAACAAAACATGGGTATCAAAATAAGAAGAACAAAATGCTGGCAAGGAAAACTATTACATCAGTGGTTCTCAACCTATGGCCCATGGACTCCTGGGGGTGTGTGCAATGTCAGAAGGGTCCATGAATATTTGATGCAGGCCAGCAGTTTAATCTTGAGTTAATTCTTGATGGTCCATGACCATGGTCTGTGGCCACAAAAACTATTTAAAAGGGTCCAAGGTGAAGAAAAGGAACCACTGTATTACATGACCAATTTCTACAAACGATTAAGGGGAAAATGGATAAAGATAAAATCTAGCAAAGGCTTACAGCTGGAACATTAATAAAAGAAACCAAAGG